TATGGATATTTGTTGTATGTCTAGGTATTTGTATGTTTCGCTGAGTATTTGTATGTTTTGTTGAGTGTTTAGGAGTCTATAGTTTATCAAAACTCATAAATGTATGAATGTTTTTTGTAAATAAGTTGGTTGGTAACAATCACATATGCAAGTGTTTGGTAGCCTAGAGCAGATGCAATGGGATTATAAGATGGAGATGGATGATAATCTAACTAGATGATGATATCACAGGTTATAATAATAAAAATAATAAGAAGAAGATGAAGAAAAAGAAGGTGATGAAGAAGAAGAAGATGAAGAAGAAGAAGATGAAGAAAAAGAAGGTGATGAAGAAGAAGAAGATGAAGAAGAAGAAAAATTACAATAAAAATACAAATAAAATAATAATAAAAAGTCAAAAAAGTCAAGAAGATGGATGGATAATAATAATAATAATAATAGAATGCATTGCATATTTCTGTTGAAACGCTGTGCTCTGAGAAAAATGTGTTTAATTATTGCGCTAAATAATAGCATACATGACTACGTATATGTATACAATATACATACATACATACATACATACATACATACATACATACATACATACATACATACATACATACATACATACATACATACATACATACATACATACATACATACATACATACATACATACATACATACATACATACATACATGGGTACTGTTACGTGGACTTTGTCAGGCAGCATGATCCTGGCCACGGTGGACTGGTCATATATTTCCGCAAAGAGTTTGGTTGCAGAAAGATAAATTTGCCTTCATTTGTAACGTTTGAAGTTGTCGCCATTAAATTAGTAATCAATAAAAATCAATTCATTCTTCTGGGTGTATACAGGCCTGGCTCGGCACAGATAACCGTTTTATTTTTTGATGAGTTGGTGTCAGTTCTAGAGCATATAACGATGTTAAATGCAAATATTTTACTGATGGGCGACTTTAATGTGCATATCGAAAGGAAAGATGATCCAAACACCATACGTTTATTTGAAATATTTGAGGTCTTTCAACTAGTTAATCATGTTAACGAGTCAACGCATTTACGAGGTGGGACATTGGATCTGGTTGTTAGCTCCGTTGATTTTCCTATTATTAGTACTACAGTCTTACCTCATGGAGTTTTTTCTGATCACAGTTTTATAACAGTGGAAACAATAATTGCTAAACCATGTCGTATCCCAACAAAAAGGTTTGTCAGATCATGGAAAAATATTGATGAGGATAGATTTATTGAAGCTGTCTTAAATTCTCCCCTGTCTGGTTCTTGCCTCAGCAATGATGTTGA